GGGAGAGGGTTAGAGAGTTAGAAACATTGATGAGAGAGAAACATTGATCAGCTGCCTCCTGCACACTCCCCACTGGGGATGTGCCTGCAACCAAGGTACATGCCCTTGACCGGAATCGAACCTGAGACCCTTGAGTCCGCAGGCCGACGCTCTATCCACTGAGCCAAACCGGTTAGGGCTCTCACTCTCATTTTTACCCCTTTTCTTTCTTTTGCACATGTTTGTTGTAGGCTGGGCCTCGCACAGGTATACCCGTACTTCGAGATCTTGCGTAGTTAACGTCGGAAATATGTTCAAAATGCTAAGTTTAACGTGTCCAGCAGGGGGTGCTGTTGCCCACTGATTTCTTGCCTCTGGTGTGTTTGGCCTCTAAGACCAGTTATTAGAGGGACACATTCAGCTTGTAGGATTTTTGTTTAGTCCCGTCAGGGTCCCCCAAGTCAAAATGCCTCTATGGATAAGGCAGTTAACGATCCATGAGTGAAGACGAGGAGTGTCAGGGGAACAACTGGGCAGGGGTTCTGACTGACGGCGAGGGATCCGGTGGCTGGAGGGAGAGGAGAGTGCGTGGTAGGAACCTGCATGAACACTCAGCCAATAGGAGTGCAACGAGGAGTTGTGAACCTGAAGTCAAGTTACCAGCAGAGGGTTTTGGCAGCGTCAGGGGCTGAGGCAGAGGAGGTCACGGGGTGTGGGCACCGTGGGTAGGCGAGAGGTTGCATAAAACCAATTCGAGTCCTTACGGTGAATGTTCACCTATGCACAGTTTTTCTCCCTGCATTTGTATCCAAAAGAGCAAGAATTTTCAAGGCATCTCAGAGCGATGGGATTTTATGAAAATAACACTCTAAACACTGCACCCGACAGAACTGGAACCTTTGATTTTCCTAATTTCCAACACACTCTATGAAAAAATATTCCTTTGGGTCAACCAATGAACTTGTATGCATATATGCAGAACACGTGGACAAAGACCATGGGGTGCTGAGGGCCTGTGTGTGTGGGGGTATGGGGGCTGGAAGAGGTTAATGGGGGGGGGGAAAGGAGGACCTATGTAATACTTTCAACAATAAAAATTAAAAAAGAAAAAAAAAACCTATATTCCTTTGTATATCTAACAGAAAATATACTCAGAAAAAAAAAAAAAGAGTTTTAGGCTAGAATACCTAATTGGGACCAAGGAAAAATTT